AGTAATACAAGAGATCAAAATTAAAAGTATAAAGAAAAAACAGGATCTCAGCTGGAAAATATTAGTACATAGACCAAACCAATAAAAATCTAATTAAACTTCCAACTCCATTGCAACAAATAAGTAGCACAAGCACAACCTCATTAAAAGACCAAACTAAGTCATCACCCAACGTAGGACAAAGAAATCAAATGAAGCATACTGATAGCATAGAAAAATGAACAAATTGATCAAAGTTATGAAATAAAACAATAAAAGTCATTAACAAGGAAATATTTCTAAATAAAAAAAATAACAAAATATAATCCAACACCAACCTCTCTCCAACTCCCCCAACAAAAAAGAATTATAGGTAGCACAATCAAATTGAATATCCAATCCCTTAGCCACAAAAAGGTAGCACAACCAAAAGTCATTGAACAAACCAAGATTTCCTAAAAGCAGAGCAAGAAATAAATAGGACGAACTGTATAGGTAGCACGAGATAGCATGAGAGTTATACAGGAAATCATATTAAAAGCATAAAGAAAAAATAGGACCAGGTAGTTGGAAAATATTAATACATAGACCAAACTAATAAAATGTTTAATTGAATGACTAACTCCATCTCCACAAATAAGCAACACAACCGAACACCAAACTCTTCCCCAACCAAGAGAATTAAAGAGAATATTAGAATATAGACAAAACTAAGAAATATAATTGATTGTTTAATCCCTTAGCCTAAACTAAGAGAGGAAGAGATCGGCCTAAACTCACTTGGGAAGAGTCGGTTAAGAGAGACCTTAAAGATTGAAATATTTCCAAGGATTTAGCGGTGGATAGGAGCGCTTGGAGGCTAGCAATCAACGTACCAGAACCGTGACTTTTGCCCCAATCTCTTCCTTTTGTTTTGAGCCCTTTTTGTGTTTCTCTTACCATTGGTTATCTTTGGTTTCATCTCTAGCCTACCGCAACTTGCTTGAGACTAAAAGGCTATGTTGTTGTTGTTGTCCAATCCCTTAGCCGTAAATAAATAGCATAATAGAAGTCCAAGCCCCAACCAAGATGTCCCTTAGGTAGGGCAAAGAAATCAAATAGGTTGTATTGGTAGCACAAGAGAATGGAACATAAAATTAATATTAAAAGAATAAGAAAATAAAGAGATCGTTAGTAGAAAAATATTAGTACATAAGAAAACTTACAAGATTAAATCAATGTCCAACTGGTTAGCCTAGCCACAAATAAGATGCACAACCCAATTCAGACCAACACATCCCAAGACACAGCAAGACATTAAAAGAAAAAACAAAACCAAACCAATCAGTAGCATGAGAATAATACAAGAAATCAAAATTGAAAGGATAAAAGAAAAAACAGGACCTCGGCTGGCTGGAAAATATTAAGTACATAGACCAAACCAATAAAAAATCTAACTGAATGCAGAAATAAGAATCACAACTTCATTCAAAGACCAAACCAGGACGTTACACAAGGTAGGGCGAAGAAATCAAATGAAGCATATTGATAGCATAAAAGAACGGAACAAAATGATCAAAGTTATTAAGGAAACAATAAGAGTAATTAACAAGGAAAGAACACCNCACCCCAAAAAAAAAAAAAGAATTATAGGTAGCACAATCAAATTCAAAGACAAAAGTCATATTAATCCCAGAGTAAGGCAAAGGAAATCAATAAATTATACTAAAAGCGAAAGAGAATGAAACAAAAAGTTTAAGATTTAAGGTTCCAGGTCTCCAAAATAGAATAAAACAATATAGTTTACTGGAAAAATTTTAACTCTTTTCGCAATCGAATCTACAAGTCACAGGAAACGTCCAATTTAATGCCCAAAACGAGTTTCATGCTACCATAATACATACACATCAAAGATGGAAAATCAAAAATTATAATCAAGTATCCAACCTCTTAGCTACAAATACATAGCACAATCGACTCAAAGCCCCAACAAAGACGTCCCCTAAGGTAGGGCGAAGAAATCGATGGGCTGTATTGATAACGCAAGAGGATAGGACAAAAATCAATATTAAAAGAATAAGAAAATATAGAGATCGTGGTTAAGAAAATATTAGTATATGAGAAAACTTAAAAATATAATTGAATATCCAATTCCTTAGCCAGAAAAAGGTAGCACAACCAAATTCATTAAACAAACCAAGATGTTCCCAAAGCAGAGCAAGAAATAAATAGGACGAATTGTATAGGTAGCACGAGATAGCACGAGAGTTATACAAGAAATTATATTAAAAGCACAAAGAAAAAAATAGGACCAGTAACTGAGTTAGAAAATATTAATACATAGACCAAACTAATAAAATGTCTAATTGAATGACTTACTCCATATCCACAAATAAGAAACACAACCGAACACCAAACTCTCCCCCAACCAAGAGAATTAAAGAGAATATTAGAACATAGACAAAACTAAAAAATATAATCCAAACTAAAAAATATAATTAACTGTCCAATCCCTTAGCCGTAAATACATAGCACAACTGAAGTCCAAGACCCAACCAAGACGTCCCCTTAGGTAGGGTAAAGAAATCAGATAAGTTGTATTTGTAGCACAAGAAAATAGAACATAAAATTAATATTAAAAAATAAGGAAATAAAGAGATCATTAGTAGAAAAATATTAGTATATAAGAAAACTTTAAAGATTCTTTCAATGTCCAACTCGTTATCCTAGCCACAAATTAGAAGCACGACCCAATTCATTGCCCACACCAACACATCCCATGACCGAGCAAGACATTGGTTGTATTGGTAGCATGAGAGTAATACAAGAGATCAAAATTAAAAGTATAACGAAAAAACAGGACCTCAACTGAAAAATATGAGTACAAAAACATTATTACATAGACCAAACCAATATAAAATCTAATTGAATGTCTAGGCACATGTATCACAACTTCATTCAAAGACCAAACCAGGTCGTAACCCAAGATAGGACAAAGAAATCAAATGAAGCATATTGATAGCGTAAGAGGATGGAACAAAATGATCAAAGTTATAACGGAAACAATAAGATATATATATATAATATTAAACACCAACCTCACTCCAACCCAAAAAAAGAAAAGAATTATAGGTAGCACAAACAAATTCAAAGATAAAAATCATATTAATCCCAGAGTAAGGCAAAAGAAATCAATAATCAATAAATTATATTAAGAGCAAAAGAGAATGAAACAAAAAGTTTAAGATTTAAGGTTCCACGTTCTCCAAAATAAAACAATTTAGTTTATTGGAATATTATAAACTTTTATCGCAATCGAATTTTAGGGCCCAAAACGAGTTTCATGCTACAGTATTACCGTCACATCAAAGATGGAAAATAAAAAATTATAATCGAATATCCAATCTCTTAGCTACAAATACATAGTACAATCGAACTCAAAGCCCCAACAAAGACGTCCCCTAAGGTAAGGCGAAGAAATCAGATGGGTTGTATTGATAACAAAGAGGATAGGACAAAAAATCAATACTAAAAAAATTAAGAGAATAAAGAGATCATGGTTAAGAAAATATTAGGATATGAGAAAACTTAAAAATATAATCGAATACCCAATCCCTTAGCCACAAAAAGGTAGCACAACCAAATTCATTAAACCAACCAAGATGTCCCAAAGCAGAAAATAAATAGGACGAATTGTATAGGTAGCACGAGATTGGACGAGAGTTATACACGAAATCAAATTAAAAGCATAAAGACAAAATAGGACCTAGAAAATATTAATACATAGACCAAACTAATAAAATGTCTAATTGATTGACTAACTCCATATCCACAAATAAGTAACACAACCGAACACCAAACTCTCCCCCAACCAAAAAAAATATTAAAGAGAATATTAGAACATAGACAATACTAAAAAAATATAATTGATTTCCCAATCCCTTAGCCGTAAATACATAGCACAATTGAAGTCCAAGCCCCAACCAAGACGTCCCCTTAGGTAGGGCAAAGAAATCAGATAGGTTGTATTGGTAGCACAAGAGAATAGAACATAAAATTAATATTAAAAGAATAAGAAAATAAAGAGATCATTAGTAGAAAAATATTAGTATATACGAAAACTTAAAAGTTTAATTCAATGTTCAACCCGTTAACCTAGCCACAAATAAGAAGCACAACCAAATGCATTGCCCAGACCAAGACATCCCCAAGACAGAGCAAGACATTGGTTGTCACAAATAAGTATCACAACTTCATTCAAAGACCAAACCAGGTCCTCGCCCAAGGTAGGACAAAGAAATCAAATGAAGCATATTGATATCATAAGAGAACGGAATAAAATGATCAAAGTTATAAAAGAAACAACAACAGTAATTAACAAGGAAATATTTCTCTATATATATATATAATCAAACACCAACCTCTCTCCAATCCCAAAAAAAAACAAAGAATTATACGTAGCACAATCAAATTCAAAGACAAAAATCATATTAATCCAATGCAAGGAAAATCAATAATTTATATTAACAGCAAAAGAGATTGAAACAAAAGTTTAAGATTTAAGGTTGCAGGTTCTCCAAAATAAAACAATATAGTTGATTGGAAATTATAATCTCTTATCGCAGTCGTATTTACAAGTCACAGCACACATCCACTTTAGGGCCCAAACCTAGTTTCATGCTAATGTAGTACCGGCACATCAAATATGGCAAATCAAAAATTATAATCGAACATCCAACCACTTAGCCACAAATAGGTATCAAAACTAAATTCAATGCCCAAACCAAAAAGTCCCCTGCAAGAAATTGGATGCATTGTATTGCAGCAAGACTACAAAAAATCAAAATCAAAACCACAAAATTCATTAAGATTAAGGTTGCAGGTTCTCCAAAGTAAAAGATTATAGTTGACTGAAAGGATAAGGAAATAAAGATCCCAAAAATATGTTTCAGCCTAACATAAGACCCACAAATCACAAATGGCAAACTGTATTTCAAGCGCAAAAAGAGTGGCCATGTTTAAGACAAATAAATAATAAGCACATGCTCAGTTAGAACCTTTCCAACAAAGAAAAAGAAAAAAAACAAAGATCCCTACAGACAAGTTAATTTTTTCTATCCAGATAATGAATTCAAAAAAATGGTTGGAGGGCATGTTTCTAGCACACAAGAGTCTTTGTGATTCTCAAAAAACTAATACGCAACAAGGTTTGATCCTTGATAATTAAGGCAGTAAACAATATACCCCAATAAGTAAACACTAGGTCTCGCTAAGTAAAGCACAAGAGGCATCAATTTTTCCCATATCATATAATTGAACACGTATAATAGATCATATAATTGAACACATATAATTGAACGGGAAGAAATTACACTTAACGATGATAAAGAGGTCACTAGCATGAAAATATTAGTATTTAAGAAAACTCAAAAATCCCATCAAATGTCCAATCCCTTAGCCACAAAATAGGTATCAGAACCAAATTCAATGCCCAAACCAAATAGTCCCCTAGGCAGAGCAAGAAATTGGATGAATTGTATTGTAGCAAGACTAGTACAAAAAATCAAAATCAAAATCAAAACCATAAAGAAAGAGCAGGACCTTAGTTGTTGAAAATATTTATACATACAAAACTATAGTTAATTAAAATTCCATATTCTAGATTCACCCAATATACATCGACCAATGCAATAGATTATTAGATCAGTCAATTGTTCCCAGAGTGTCCCTGACAAAGCTCATCCACATAGCAGATTGAAAAGACAAAGAAAATTATTCAATGGAATAGGATCTCTATATAGCATATCAGCATATCAAAATCCACGTTATCAGAGAAGACAAAATTGGAAATTTACTTTTACTACTCATTCATAGCTATTTACCACCCCTGGTCATTTTGCAACTAAATGACACCTACTCCATAAACACAGATAAAACACCCGATGCATAAGAAAGCCAACTCAGATTTTCTATAAGACACCAGGTAAAAGTCTTTTCTGCAAATATCCAATAAAATTACCTAGACATGTAACTATACATATACATTGATATTATGATCTCAATTCGAAAGGAAACATATTGTACTGCATATATTTCATTTTTTTTTAATGTATTAGATCAAGTATTGATAGGCAGTCATTTTTTTTTATGTATTAGCTCAAGTATTGATAGGCAGTACAATATGTTTCCTTTCGAATTGAGATCATAATATCAATGTATATATATATATAAGCTCATCAAGTAGCACTTATTACAAATTTTCCTTTTTGAATAAGGTACAGACAATATTTTCAATTATTCATCTACGCAAAGCAAATAGAGTTTTTTCTTTCCATTTTTCCTGATTCGCTCATACTTAAAAAGTAAAGGAACAAAAACAGCACAAGAAAATTCAATCATCCAACAACTTTTCGCCCTATCCAATTACCACCAATAAACAATCAACTCTACACAACCAGAATTCAAATTTAGTAAATCTTCAAAAGGCATCCCCACCATTACAACAAAGAGATAGATCAAAATACCCAAAAAACTAGAGTTAAAAACCATATGGCCAAATGCAAAAAACAATTTATTCAGAAATGTCAGAAAGCGAAAAGAACTAATCACAGTGTGAAAGAGTTTTAGCAATTGTCGAAAAACTGATGCACAACAAGGTTTGATCCGTGATAATTATGGCAGTACGACCACAGTAAGTAAACAGCATGTCTCACTCAGATAAAGCACAGAAGGAAAACAAATCCTGATCATGTAATTGAACAACAGGAGAAAATAGAGATTACATATACAGAGATAACATATACAGTTAACAATGATAAAGAAAGCAATTAACTCACCTGTTGCGAGTAATATAAAAGAACAAGAAGAAAGAAGAATAAAGAAAACTGACTTGAGTGGGATTCAGAAAACCCTAATCGCACTGACATGAGAGATTTTTGTTGTTTGAGGATCAGACTGGAAATCTTCATTCATGCTTCGATGGTTATTTGGCCCGCATCTTTCTTTTCACATAGGACCCCGAATCTTGACCATATACAAAGAAAAGGGGGCTTTAGAATGGTGAAGAAAATCAGAAGGCATTGATATAAACATATTTTCACTCAAAACATCAAAATCCTAACGCCGCATTGCACAAGTGCAGAAGAAACTAATTACCGTCTTCCTCTGGACAAATTTCTTGCCCTTCTTCGCCTGCGGGTAACGCCAACGGCGTTCTCGAAGATCTGAGATCTGCTGGCAACGCTGAAGCCCGAAAGGTGTTCGGCGGCGGTCTCAGCATCGTAGCGCCAAGAAGGCGGTGCCGCAGGTATCCTTGTTCGTGTCGATGCTGATCTGACGCCGCACTCCAAGAATATGGCGTGTATCTCCTATCTCGCTCGTTGTATTGACGGCAGGTTGTGGTGGTAGAATAGGCGGTTGAAATACGGCAGGATGCGAGTGTTGGTCTTGCGGAGTCTGAGTGCATCCATGATCCATGGACCGATTGACGGTGAATCTAACAGGGTTTCTGAATTCTTTACCCGCTGCAAGGAGCCGTATGACAATTGTTATTATTCGTTATCAGGCATGATAATAAATCCATCCTTTAAAGGTTTTCTTTTTTAGGTTTGTTTGGTTACATTTTTAGGCCCAAGCCCGTCAACTATTAAACGGTCGGTTGCTTTAAACTGGACACTTTGATAATTTTGATCTATTACTATATAACTAGTGTGTGGCCCGTGCAAAAAACAATATTACGATTCTATTATAAATTAAATATATAATTAATATTAATCATAATTTACCTATTGTTTTTAAATTAAATTGAATTGGACACAGTCCGACTGGATAGACCGAGAACTGGTTTATAACCAGTCTAGTTCACTTGAATAAAATATTTGTTGTTGAATCCATGAACACCAGTCGGTTGAAGTGGTAGGAACGATACGATTTTATAAATAAAATTTGTTACATTTAAAATTATTTTAAATTAAATTACATATTTAAATAAAATAGAGATTTATAAATTGTTTAGATATTTAAGTAACACATTTTATTTAAATTTATTACAAAACGTAATATATATATATACGTAATATATATATATATATTAGAATGTTTATAAATTAAAATCGAACAAACCACAAATAATTTAATAAAATAACTTGATTGTTTCGATTACGGTCCGGTTGTGAAAACCTTATATTTACTGTACATTAATAAAAAAAAATAATAAAATATTATTTTATTCACATAAATATTAATAAAATGATATATAAACATTCATAAATCATTTAATGGTATATGTATTGTTTTGTTTCGTAAAACTTGCAGCTACAACGAACTATATGTTACGTTGATAGTGAGTAAAATTTTTCAGCTCTCAGGTGTATTGAATGGGCAGTATATATTACGTTTATAGTTAGTATATATTGAGTATATGTTGCAATAATCTCGTAATATACCAAAACAACAAAAAACTACAAATTGCTCATTTGTCGAATTCGTCTTCAACATAAAAATTTCCTAATATAACAAACATAAACTATGAATAGAACATCAAATAAATTTTCAAAACAGAAAAATCAAACTTCTGTTCACAAAAAGTACTCAACAATTAAANTATACATAAAAATAATAAATAATTTCTTTATATTTATAATAAAATTAAATTATATATGAATTAATTGGAAAAAATATTTAAATTAATTTTACTACAGTTAGTTATATGATATAAGTTAAAATATAGATGTTAAGCCATAAGTGACAAGTGCCATTTTAAATAAAAATAAAATATAATTTTTTAAGAAAACTATATGAAAATTTAAACTTTTTTTTTTAATTTTAATTTTAAATATAAATTTTTTAATAAACATCCGTGTAATACGCGGATTCTGTATTAGTTACATTTTAATCATACCTTCCCAACCAAACAAATTAATAATTTCATTTTATGGATATGAGTTGATCCAAATGCAACCAAACAACAGAATGTAATGATAAAACACGGTAGACCCTTTTTTACTTGACCCAGCAATGACATTATCAAGCCATATTTTTATGTTATTATAACCACACACTTTTAGTTAACATTACGCAACATTGCACAAGCATTTTACACAATATCTATCCCCCTGATTTTTGGAGACCACATAATCATTCGAAATCTTCACTTTGATGGTGAAAAACAGCACTGTACTTCCAGGAGTTAAAGAACAATACAGCACAAAATGATATATGCAATGTTGGCATGTTTTATAAGAAATGGTGAAGAAATATTAGTTTGTTATTAGTATTATCTACTATTGTTATCAATATTAACAATTATTCTGGATTAAATTATGCTGCTCATAGTGAAAACTCAACATGGTAGTCCAGTAAACTACATATAAACATTGTATCATTCGACAAGAAATTTTGCAGCAATCCCCCCCAAAAAAAAGGTCGAAAATCCTATGTTCATAGTATTTGCTAACAAAATTTAACAGCATTGAAAAAGAAAAATCAGAAAAAAAAATTAGGGACAAGAATGTCAACTCAAAAGCACAAGACTCAATCAATTTACAAAATTAAACACCGAAAGTATATTTCCAAGACATGTATATTTCCAAGACATGAAGTACCTCCTCCCGAGAATAAGCGAACGAGGCTGGAGTTTCAAAATAGAAAACAATTGACAGAACACTTCCAACTAACAATCGAAGATAAATATATAATAACCTCGTCTCATACTTCATTTGTACGAAAATAGCATATATTGTATTTCACGATATACATTTTCATCAATTTTCAACACTAAATCTTTCATCTCAACTTCAGTTATCAAACTGACTGAAGCTCAGTGCAGAAAACAAAACCACGTCCCAATCCAAAGTGTAAAAACTATCACAAAGATGCCGAAGAAAATATAGATTACATGTATGAAAGTCTAGGTTCCAAGTTCTCAACGTTGTTTCATTACCTTTCTTCAAGCGTCATCACCAATGCTACACAACACCTTCTTTTCTATTTTGTTTACTTTTTTACCTTTTCTTTTCCGACTAGAAGTTGGCCTTGCTGACATGACATGATAGTTTCTCTAAAGGATAGTGCACGAACACGGGCCCTGTTTTTCTTTATCCGTCTGGTTCTTACCTGCATTTGCCACAAAGAAAAATATTAACAAATTTATCCAATAATGACACAATTCAACAGATCTCCGTATTTCCCTTTTCCCACTTTCTTATAGTTTTTACAACCAAGAACATAAAATTGATTTCTATATCTCCAATAAATATGGATACCAAAAGTATATACATGATAGCATCCATACCATCTCATGATGAAACAGTTACACTGATACAATCTGAAGTTAAGCAAATGAGAGATTCAACAACAAATTCTGAAGAAATCAACTAGCCGTTATCATGAAAAAAAAAATATTGAAGCTTCTATACACCCAAAATATAGTAATAATCTCAACAACTTAAGATTAAGAAATATATGGAAATACTAACTATCAATCAAATAAAGACCACAGAAGACGTACAATAAGAAGCTAAATGAATAATAACCAAGAAAAACTAAACACATATAAACCACGTCTTGCAGACCTTACACTAAACTGTCATGCATTAAATATAAGCAGATTGTACCTGTCTTTTTCTTGACAACTGCAGGCTGAACAACAACATGCATTGTGATAACCCCGCTTGGGAGGTCACCCACATTCGCTCGAGACTCGGCTAGTGTCTTCCCGTTATCCAAAACCTTTCCAGCATGGATTAATTTCATATCGCTAACAGACTTTGGTACAACGGATTTATCTGTAAATGAAGAGTGCGAAAAAGGCTTAAAATTAAAATCTTAATAGAATTTTGAGAAAAGCAATCATAAATTACTTTAGAAACATCCTAATGCAAACAGAAAAACAGTTGAAAGCAAAAGCATTATGTGGCAATACATTAGCCTACAGTTTCTTGTTTCTCTTCAACTGATTTAAGTGGGTTCTCCATATGAAGGGTTCTTGCAAAATTATGGAAGGTTTTTTTTTATCATAATTCAGATAGTCTAATTTATTCAACCACCAATCACACCAATAGTGATTCGACTAGAAAATATATAATGACATTTGTCCTTAAGCATTCACATTCACCCCCTCCAATTTTATTTATAAATGTAGTCTTTTTATCAAGGCAAATTTTTTCATAGAACATGTACACGGCAATCACAAACCACCCAAGTAAATCCTCATAATCCAAACAAATGGGCACCGCATATCCAAAACAATTAAAGAAAGTTCCATCAAACATCAAATGATGATTTGATGAAATTTAGCTTAAACCACAAAAATCTACCCCTCAAGAGCAGCGCATTTGAAAGCTAATCACAAACTGTTAAGAAGATATTTGTTATTTTAGTTGACATGATAATCACAAAACTTAAGAGTAGTTTCTGTAATAATCGCTAATATTTTAGTCTAAACACAACATATAGTCAGTACGTATATTCTTTCCCTGACACAACATAAACTAGATCAAATATGTAACATGCATATATATGAGGCTAAGCACAACCTTGAGGCCACTCAGAAAGAAGCCGTTGCTTAAGATTAGCAATTGTAGTTGATGAAGAGTATGACCCATGACCTATGTCCGTCCCATCAAAAATTCTGAATTTAAGTTCAAGCTGCTCGTCTCCTTCTGCCATTTGTAAACTCTACTACTGCGAAAAGCCAAGACGCAACACAATGCCTAGAAAGCTACTTGGAAAAGAATTTAATTCTCCAGGGTTCACCTGCCCAATAAGAATTCAAGATAGAAAATTATCAACCTTATTTGACTTGTAAGTCACGAAGTAATGACAAATTTTGTGAGCTGAGAATACACTCTCACCACACGATTCTAGCTTTGAATCACAACTACAAAACGAACCCAGAAACCACTTCATATGATCCAAAAGCTTGCTTATGGCATGTAAAGGGAAGAGAACCCCTGTCACCCTGTGTCCATATATCCACATTCGGTTTAAATCCAGATTCATCAAAATAAAATCTAAAGGAGAATAAAGAACAATTCAGAATCCAATCCCCCGTGACATACATATATTTCTGAGAAATACATGTCAGTATTCAGAAACTTTTGATATCGATTTCAGTCATACATGTGCATTTTAAACATTATAGAAATTCAAACCTCCGAACTAATAAAATTACTCAGTACCACACCATCGAAATTTCTAAACCAAAACCCAAATCGGAAATTCTTCTTTCCCCAATAAACAACGAGGCCTAATTCTGTAATTCATCGGCAATTTCAAACCCCATTAAGTTTATAAAAGAAAATCTTGAAACCACATAACAAAAATCGAAATAACAACAGCAAACTACGAACTCTATACCCAACTCTATTTTCCCTTTTAACGATCAAAACAACAATCCCAACATAAAAAATATGTACAAACAAAAAGAAGTGTGCCGAATAACCTGATCAAGACTCCATTGATGAAAGGATCTGTGAAGAGGAGCGGCGAGAAATAATTCGGCGCGGCTGAGAGGAAGAGATCGCCGGATATTAAGAAAAACAGGCGGCGATTAAATGATTCTCAGATTAGATAAAGAAAAGGGAGATGGGAGAGAGAGGATTCGGTGGTGTTTGACGATTGGGTTGTCTGTCAGTTTTTCAGTCGCTTTCTTTTATTTTATTTTGTGGGAGAGAAAAAGTAATAAAAGAAAAGGTTTGAATAGTAATAAGTGTTATTCAAACTCGGCTGTAATTGACCCGCAAGCAAAATCACGGGTCAACGATTCAATTGATTTGAAAAGAGTAATTAATTTTATATGTTTTAAAATTTATGTGTTATTTTATGTAATAAATATACATAAAAAATTATATAATTTTGCATAACTAAAATCATATTACATATATAAATATATATATAATTTTAATATAAAATAAAATATTAAAAAAATAAAAAACATAAGAGTCAAATCAAATTGAGTTGATTTGACTCTTATCGAATTAATGTTAGGCTGAGTTTCCTCTTACTTGATCATTCACTCAAGTCAGTCCCTAATCAAGGTCAATTGTGTACCTGTCTAACTGATTTTACTGCAAAACACGGGTTAAAATTGAAAATATTTTTTTTACATAGGCACCACCACTATGTCAATAATAAAATATAATAATAAAAACAAAAAAAAAAATTATTATTAGCTCTCCTAATTATTAATAAACTAGAACTTTTTTAAAAAAATAAATTTATATTTATAAAATTTTATATTTGTGTTTATAATGTATTTTAAAGTGGGAATACAAATTTTTGTATGTATATTATTGAAAAATATTTAAACTCCCTAATTATTCAGCCTAACAAAACAACCTATATGATCATGAAAGCTGACATGTATGCCATTATATTTACATTCACTAAATTATTTTTCTTTTCAAATATTGAGAGATCCAAGAAAAAGAAATACGTGTGGAAAACGCCTCTTGGGCTGACTTGGAAATAAACTGAAATAATGGTATTTAATAGTCTTTGACCCATTTGTGTGGTCTTTGTGTTGATTCTGCACTACTACGGTTCTACCAATATTACATGCATATAACTTAATGGGTCAATTTATGTTACATTTACATATTTACCACTAAATATGAAATATTTTAGTACCAGGAACTAGCTTATAGCTTATTTGATTAGTTTATAAGTTTCTTATATTTAAATAAGTTTCGTTTGATAGAACGAGTTTTTTTTTTTAAAAAAAAAAAAGTTCAAACTCGGAAAAATTTTTATTTTAGCTAGCTTATCAGCTAATTTTACCAAACACTTTTATCATATAAGCTAACTTTTATGCTAGAAGTCATAAGATATAAGTTATAAGCTCGAAAATTACTGATAAACTATCAGCTAGCTTATCAGCTAGTTTTACCAAACATAGCTGAAATAAAATGATCATTCTCTCACTCACAAGGCCGGCCCTGGCCTAGGGTGACTTGGACAACAGCCCAGTACCCAATTAGAAAGGGCCCAATTTGAAGGCATTTGTTTTGCCCAATCAATATGCAAATAATAAGTAGAGGAATTTGCACCACACACTATCAAATATATTTTATACTACATATTTACACTTAATTAATATTTATTTGCAAAGATACAAATCATCCCAACATATTTACACATATACTAGAATTCCAATTTAAGTGAACTTGTCTTTTAATTAATGAATGAGCCATATTATGTGTGATTATGGATTAAAATTGATTTTCAATTTTTAAGGGATTGCATTAACTCTCATTCTCTTCTCTCTCATCCCTCCCTATTAATTTATTTTCTTTTCCTCTTTCATCTCTCACTCCTTCGTCCATTTCTTCTTCTTCTTCTTCTTCTTCTTCTTCTTCTTCTTATGTCGTCGCCTCACCCGATGACGCGGGAGGTTGGTTCAAACGCATCGAGGAGCACTGACGAGACTCCACAAGTGTGGTCGAGTTCATGCCTCAGACATCTCCTAACGCAAACCGTTGGAAACATGGTTTAGAAAAAAAAAATCGAGAAGATATTGAAGCCGGGGGTTACGGCAAAACTACAGGTAATTTTCGCCGTGAAATCAACCATATTCAGTCTGACAAAGGCGAAATTCAACAAAATAAGACCCGGCCAAAATTAAAGAAATTCAAATTGTCTGAAGAAGATGCCACAAAGGACCTCAATTTTATCGTTGAAGACGATAATCCAACCGGGAGTGACGAAGTTGAAGAAGATATGAGCTTAGACGATATTGACGAGCATAGGTTGAAACAAAAAAAATAATAAAAAAAATAATCTTGGACAATCTCAACAACCTTATGATGTCGACAGTTGATGTTGCGTTTATGTACAGTATATTTTTAATATATGTTCCTTTCGACACAATATCAATGACCCTACGGAAGTTTACTTGTGAGCAGCGGCGATATACGAATACTTCTGATAGGATCTATTTCATTGTTTATTTAATGTTTATTCATAATTTATGTTTGGTATATTAATAGGTTTTCACGATTTGTTTCAATGTCTATTGGATGTTTTATTGTAGCTTACGTTTGGTGTATCAAAAGTTTTATGTTAACGACGAAATTGACAAATGAGCAAATATATTTTTTTTTGGTTGATTATTGTTTATGTTGCTTTGGATATTTATCATAATTATGTATAGTTTTGTTTTGTTTTTATCTTTAATTGTTGAGTACTTCTTGTGAATGGATATTAGGTTTTTCTGTTTTCAAAATTTATTTGATTTGATGTTTTATTCATAGTTTATGTTTAGTATATTAGGATTTATTTTGTTGAAGACGAAATTGACAAATGAGCAATTTGTTGCTTTTCTTGTTTTTTGGTATATTAAAAAGATTGGAGAAAAAAATTATATCATATAAACCACATCTAGAATAGAAAACAATATTAAAAAATAATTAATGTTCTTAAATATGGTCATAACTATTCAGTACATATATGGATATTCCAAGCCTAGTTATTTTTAGATCAAAAATAAATTAAAATCCATCCAAACCAAATGACAAAGCATGAAAGATTGCCACATAGGATTTCGAAGCGTGCAAATTTGTCACTTAGACTCAGCGCATTCTGAAATTATATATAGGGGATAATTTCCACTTCGTTATATTTGTCAACAACCTCAAGGTGTATTCTTTTGAGATTTCTAGACTCTTTAACTTAGACTTATAAAAGTCTTATGTAGTGTTTGGTTTGAGGGATTTGGAGGGAAGAGGAGGGAGAAATTTAGTTTTCACTTGTTTGGTTGCAAAATTAGGAAGGGAGGGAGAGGAAAGTTTTAAGTAGATTTTCCTCCCCTTCTTCACTTTTTCTCCCCTCCAAAATTGGAAGGATTTGGAGGGAAAGTGTTTTAATATGATGTAAAATGACCATTTTGTCCCTATTTTCATTGTTTTTTATTTTTTTACTATCTCCTATCTTTTTTAAATGTCATTTTAGCTTTATCAACCATTAACCAAATAAAGGATATTTTGGATCTTTTGTACATATTTTTCCATTATTACCCTCATTTAGCTAATAAATACACTACGTCGTTTCATAGTCACTCTTGGGATCTTTTGGACGAACTTGGGATTTATCTGCCATCTGAAGAGTGATTCTAGTCGGTTGAAGCTTCTCCAATCTCAGCTTCTCGAAAACAGAGAGTGGCATCAAGTTGACACCCGCCCCTAAGTCGCACAGCCCTTTCCCGGTATATGATTCTCCAACAGCGCAATCGATATAAAATCCACCAGGATCTTCGCACTTAATAGGACGGTCTCCTTGGAGTAGTGAACTGCTCTCCTCCTTGAGTGTAACCACCTCATGAGCCTCAATCGGGCTCTCCATCTTCTCGTCTGAAGTAACCAAAACCATCTCGACCAATGGTTCCTTTTCTTCTTGCTCATGCACCTCGTTCACCTTAGTCGGGACTTCACCTATCGTCTCTTGGGCATCCTCGGCTTTGCAATCCTCTGGGGTGATCTCCGTATGACTCGGAAATTGGCCCTCTTGCTGTTGACTCTCGACCATCGCGATCATTTGCCCCAAGTGCTGCCCAATCGACTTCATTCGATTCTCCATCGAAGCAGCTCGAGCCTTATTTTTAGCTATCAACTTGTCCATGTCACTCATGACCCTGACGAACGTTTCCTCAAATGACTCCTTCTTCGGTTTGTTCATGAATTTTTGTGTCTCAGTCATAAATGTTTCCGTGGTTCTCATGAATGAGGCGAACGCTTCTTCGAGTGCCGACTTCTTCGGCTCATTGATGACCCCATTGGTCACCGAAAATCCCATTGGTGGCTGTAGAGCATTGTATGGATTGGTGTACGAGAAATTAGGATAATTCTGGTTGCCCGAATAGTACGTGTTACCTCCTTGATATCCCCAGAAATTGTCGTAATTCCGGTCATGCAAATAATTCACGTCCTGGACGGGTTCATACATTGACACCACATTCACCCCAACATTCTCGTTCTTCACCCCTTGCAAGCCGTTAAGCACCAATGTGGCTATTTGAGCCGACAACTCCGAAATTTGGTCTATATTGGTAGTCGTCGACACTCTATTAAACATCGTCTGCTCCACCGGCCATTGGTAGCTATTAAACGCCATCTCGAAAGAAATAAAGAAGAATAGGAAAATATCAGAAAAGAGAAAAAGAAAGAGAAAAAAAATAAAAATAAAAATAATAAAATAAAAATATCTAAACTAATATCTATTCGTCTTCTTCTAATATTAATCAATTCAACAAACAATCCCCGGCAACGGCGCCAAAAACTTGTTCGCTAATTATTTTTGCTATCCGCAAGTGTACGGAGTAGCTATAGGTAGTGGCGAGCAAGGTCGTATTCCACAGAGATTGTAGTTAAATTAATTAAGTACTAAAATAATGACGATTCAATATTATCTAGACTAGTGAATTGAATGATGATTATAAACTAAGAATTAAACTAGAACTAATCTAACTAAAAATAAAAATAAAAATAAACAAAGAAACGAAAGGTAGATTCTAGGCTAAGCGTTCCTCGGAATTAATTCATGAAACGTTTATATTCAAACAAACCTTATTTAATTTTACCAATCGTAGAGATAATCGCTAAATTGATTTCAAACCTTTCTCTCGAACAAGTCAAATCGTAGATATTAATTGTTATCTATCTCCTCTCGGTCTCAAGATGAACAACTAACTCCCATAAGTTCCTAGGATTTTCGTTCTCTCGCAAGGTCCTATCAACCTCTCGGTCTGTTTATTCTCTTACGTTATAAATCTCCCAATTCTAGCAATCAATTATCTCCTCTCGGTCTCAAATCGATCACAAATATGCATTCATAGTGGCCATCTACTCACACAATAATAATAAGCAAAAGAAATTCATAAACGAAAGATAAACCGGAATGAAAGAAATAAAAACTAAATCATAAATTAATCCGAGTACTAACCAATCCTAGAATCTAATAGGTTTAGCTACTAAACATATTCTCAAAACTCAAAATAAATAAATCCATGAGTTCAATGAAGAAGAAAAAGAGAAAAGAAAGAAGAACTATTGTCGCCGTTAGTTCCCGAATCTTCAATCTTGACTTCCTCGAATCCCTCGTGTGTTTCGTGCTTTCTCTAGGCCTCCAATGGTGTCAAAAGTCCCAAAAACGAGTTCCTAAGGCCTCTTTTATACTGTAGGGCACTTCTGGGTCGAAAAAGGGAAGAAATCGCACAAGAATCCTATTCCCCGCAGGTCTGGTCTGCGCGTCACACGAGTCGTGTCACATGCCACACGAGTCGTGTGACTTTTCTCAACATTTCGGCGAACTTTCAGACTCACACGACTGGTCACACGACCGGGTCACACGAGTCGTGTGAGGTCACACGACCCGTGTCACAACCCACACGACCCGTGTGAAAAAGCCGCAGCTGCACTTGTTATTCTCTCAACCCACACGACCCGTGTCACTACCCACACGAGTCGTGTGACCTCTTCTGCACCCGTTTTCGCCGTTTTTCGTCCCGATTCCATTTCCAACGCATTTCCGGGCATATTTCCTACAAAACTAACGACAAAAACACCTCTATCATAGATTAATAAATAACACAAAATGGTGCACAATCACACAATAACCATGACCAAATATCACAATATATCACTCATAATGCATGAAAATATGATGAATGTCAAAATGTCAAACGAATGCACCTTCTTAATATACGCTCCCTTAATCCAATTGATATATATATATATATATATAACATTTAATGAAACATATTTTCATTTCCTCCAAAAAGAGTTACATTTTTTTAATTAATTACTCACTAATCTGCTAAAATCGTTAGACCTTAATATATATATTTTTATTATTTATTTTTTGGATCAGTTACTAAATTAATTCTAAATTTGGTAGCAAAATATTCAAATGTGTAATGGCTAATGTTGGAACTTAAATTTGTTGGCACTTTCAGAGCAGTAACCGCTATATTTGGTTGCATTGTTGGAAGAAAAATATGATTGACACATATATTTTTTCCTAAAAATCAGAAACACCAATAATTTTTTTTATTTATGTTAATTTTCTTAATATATGTCACAAATATATAAATTATTTTATTCATATTGCTAATGTAAACGTTGAATTGTTAAAATAAAAATTTAAATCTCAATTAATTTTGAATGATAAAAATAACTTAAGAAAAAATAATAATTTTTATATGATAGAAGTACATGTCTAATTAATAAATACAAATAAAAATATGTTTTATATCTGTGCAAGTGCACATGATCAAATACTAGTTCTGGTTAGAACAAGAGCTCTCTTCTGCTATACATGGAAAGACTCGACCTTGAGACATGTTATAGAAAGGAGAAACAACTTGGCAAAGAAAAACTGAAAATGTTATGGATTGAACTAGTTTTTATTTGGTTTGTTTTTTAATTATAGTTAATTTTTAAAAAATGTGGTATGGTTAGTTGTTAGTGGATATATTAAAATAATATTTAAAATAAATAATTAAAGTTGATTCGATGTAAAGTAGGAGAAAAATGATTGGAAATGATAGTTAGTTAAAATTATGTGAGTTGATGAATAATGAATTAAAGTTGATGTGATGTGTAAGAATGATTGGTTGATATTATTTAATTATATAAATAATTTTGAAGATAGTGAAGTTGATTAAAGTTGAGTTAAATTTAAGTTTTGATTAGTTTCTTTTGAGTTGAATTGGTAAACAATCACACCCTCGTGGATCAGGCTCATTTATGGCTGATTGAAGATTGGCAAAGAAAAACTGAAAAAGTTAATTTATTAGTTTAGTGTTGGTAACCACTTGAATAAAAGTACGAAAAAGCAAATGAATCATCGGCCAATAAAAACGTCAGTTCACAAAGAGAAAATGTAAAGACACGACCCAAAAATTTGTCAGCTTTTCTCTTTTTTGTTTTTTCTTTTTTTTTTTTTTTTTTTTTTGGGACATGGATAGACAATGAAGAATCGTTATACATTTGTTANGTCTTTTCTCTACTCTTTCTCAGTTAACTGTCAACATGGATTAACTGTCAACATGTATTAGCTTAAAGGATTAAAATAAAAACATATATAGATTAGTTTATGGCGCATGGCTTTTCATTTAAGTCTGATGGAAATTTGTCAGTGCTGGGTTTCAAGTGGTCATCAGGTGATGCGGAAAGCTGAGTTTTACATAAATAAATGGGGAAAGTCCACTTTTGGTCCTCTAGGATATCCAGACTGAGTCCTTATTATGTTTTGGTGTCCAATTTTAGTCCTTAAAACAAAAAAAATAGTCCCTATAATAGGGAAAAGTCCACTTTTGGTCCTTCATGTTTAGGGGTATCCAAACCGAGTCCCTATTATGTTTTGTTGCCCAATTTTAGTCCTTGAAACAAAAAAATGCAATCCCTATAATAGGAAAAAGTCCACTTTTGGTCCTCCATGTTTAGGGGGTATCCAGACTGAGTCCCTATTATGTTTTGGTGCCCAATTTTAGTCCTTAAAACAAAAAAAATGTAGTCCCTTTACCTCAATTTCTGTAAATTAACGGTCTATTTTTGCTCAATAGTGATGTTCTTTATTTTTTTAAAATTTGTTGACTAATGTCAACTTTGACCAAAGAAAAATAAAAGAAAATTTAAATGCTGAAAATATATTAATCAAAAATTAAACTAAAACAAGAAATCGCACTGAATTAAATTAAAATTTTTGCTCGTCTGATTTCTATTTCCCTAGCATTCGCGCTGCGGAGCAAGCTTGGAATCACAGCTACTGCTCTTACATCCATTTTCGGGTCATGCCATCGAAAAAAATTGCAGCTATCAACCCTCTGTGTTATTAACCATTTCTTATCATCAGTCCAATAAACAAGAAGAAAGGGGTATTCCAATTGAAGTTCACGGAAAGTACTTACAGGATATAGAGGGCAACTCAAGAATCTTCTCCCGGGATTATCATCCTTCCAGCATGTAATCAACTTTGCATCCAGCCCACATCTACAAAATACAACACCATTTCCATCCATTTGATCGGATTTAGTCCCTAGGCGGTTAGGGTTTTTTTTTTCTACCTTTTACTGTAGTTCACCATTTCTGCCTTTTATTTTACCTTTTCAGCATTTAAATTTTCTTTTATTTTTCTTTGGTCAAAGTTGACATTAGTCAACAAATTTTACAAAAATAAAGAACATCACAGTCGAGCAAAAATGGACTGTTAATTCACAGAAATTGAGGTAAAGGGACTACATATTTTTGTTTTAAGGACTAAAATTGGGCACCAAAACATAATAGGGACTCAGTCTGGATACCCCTTAAACATGGAGGACAAAAAGTGGACTTTTTTCTATTATAGGGACTACATTTTTTTGCTTTAAGGACTGAAATTGGGCACCAAAACATAATAGGGACTCAGTTTGGATACCCCTAAACATGGAGGACCAAAAGTGGACTTTTCCCTAAATAAATTGGAAGTTTAAAAAAAAAAAAATATTTAATTTGATTTATTGGATAAAGTGAATTAAGATTGAAAAAAATAAATAAGTTCAAATTTGGATTTGGCTTTGAGTTTGTAAATGGATATAATTTAAAATATAATAATCAAAGTTGTAGTTAAAAATATGTGACTAATTTAATATTGGAATTGTTGGAAATTATATTAGTAATGGTTAGTTTTGTTTCCACTCACAGTTTCGTTAAAAACAAAACAAATATCTGACGAGTCAAAAAATAATAATAATAATAATAATAATAATAATAATAATAAATTATCTAATAAAAGTATCTGGCGAGTATTTTTTTTTAAAAAAAAATCCAATCTGTATCATGGAGTGAGAAAATGGAGAATTTTTTGGTATATATATCGATTGGAAACAGATTTTCTCGCTCTTACCACAATCCATATATCATATGGATTGAGAAAATGGAGAATTATTCTGAATATTCAACCAAGTATACTTTGACGGAGCAGTTTACAAACCGACTTACCAAATAATATGCTGTCAAGATTTTGATTGTTGAGCTTGATAGTATTATAATGAATAATGTGTTATCAAGATCACAATTGTTGATTTCGGTATTATTATAATTAAAAGGGTATTAGATGTTTGTCGCTGATTTAAAGAATTTTTATGTCAGTAATATTGTAGTACTAAGTGTAGTTAATGTCACAAATCATGCGTACTTATTGTAAGTAAATCATTTTAGCATTAAGCACGACTTCGTAGGTATTAGAAATCACATTTTAGCAATACGATGACTTGCATAGATATTACAAATCACCACAAAAGGCACACAATCATATCGAGTATTGCATAAATGTAGTGAAAAACCAGATGACGCGTGTTGAATTTAACAAATAACCGAGATAACATGTACGGAAGTATAGTGATTAGTGATGAATTGGAGTTGATCCATCACATAAAATGGTTAGCATGAAAAAACCAAAAGATACAGATTCTTCACCAAGAAACTGGCCAAAATGGAGCAGATTTCAACAAATGTCTCACATTAAATTAGACTTCCCACATTATTTTCCTGTTCTACACAGAAACATACAACCAGGGAAGCTCATAAAACACAAAAAACTAGTTCACTACATTTTTAAGTCCTTATTAAGTGTGTCAAATGATACACTAATTATTACCTGAAATATCTCATGATGAAAACCGAATCCAATAGACTTCCTTCTACAAACAACCAGCAACCCGTCACCTAACATGCAAAAGTCTACAAATAGTATACAGTTCATATCAGAAGAGAAAAACAAAAATACAGAGATTCACCGAGTGTATCCGAATTCTCGCCTCTTTACACCATGAATAAAAAAATAAATAGATCCTGCCAAGACAAGCAAAATTTGATGATCACATCAGCTTGCTGATATTCAATAACACAAATTAGGCATACTTACAAAAACCTCAAAAGACCATCACTTGTAACTGTACCTGCTCAAGCAAACCTCATTCCAGAATTCTAATCCATCGTCCACACAAAACTCGGCATGTCCATCCTCCTCCCAGACACCGTCCGATAAAGATACAGCTTCTCGACAGCACAACTCTCGGGCCTCGTATTCAGCAAACCCCTCTCGTCAATAACCTCGACATTCAGCCTCGGCATCTTTTGGCCAAGCAGCTTGCACGCCCCATAGCTAACCAAGCAAGACGACATCCAAAGGGATCGCATTGCCTCGAGCTTCCGAGCATTCGCCAGCAAGGCGCCATCCCCAAACGGACAATCCCTAATCTCCAGCTTCCTCAAGCTCTCGCAGCCCGAAAGAACATGATGAAGGCCCGAGTCACTTTCTCCAGCAAAGGCTATGGACAGCATCTCGAGTTTCTTCGCATGAGTTCCAATACGCTCGAAAACTCGATCTGTGAGGAGACCGGACATAGAGAGCCGCTTGAGCTCCTTGCAGCTCTCGACAATGGCTCCGAAACCGGCGTCGAGTGGGTCGAGAGTCAGGTGGTCTGGGGCCTGGGGCTCGATAATGCACAGGCGGAAGCAGATTAAGTTAGGTCGGTTTCGGGCAATGGTGACTAATGCGGAGTTCGACATCTGGCGGCAGAAGTAGAGGACGGATTGGAGCTTGGGGCAGTTTTGAGATACGGAGACGAGGCCTTGCTCGGTTAAGGGGACATTTGGTTCGGCGCCGAAAGGATCGGAAGGGAACACGCGGAGTTCTTGCAAGTCCTTGCAAGACATGGAAAGAGCTTCTAGACCTGTGTCCTCGATGTAATCCAGAACCTGCGCGTGTTGTGTTTATTGTTTAACGAGCATTATTAGTCCTTTTTAACTTCTTTTGTGGAAATTTCAGACCTTTGAGAGTTTTGTCCATCGATCAGAGAACTGTAAACTTTAGTCCGGTAATTTTTTTATGCATTTTTTGGATATTTCAGTGTAGTAGAGCAATTTGGGGATGAAAAACACATCAATGTAGTCCTTCAGGAACATAAGTACCACGGAGTAGAGTTGAGGAAGAAAATTACTACCGTGCAAACACGAAGAATCAAATTAGTCAGGCACTCAGAGATAAGGGCCCGCTTTGAAATTAAGAAATGTGACAAATGACACTGCATCAAATTTAGAAAACACTAGAATTCCTGCAGCAGATTTATCTATCATAAATTATACATACCCATAAACGCCGTAGATGCCGGCACTGACAAATAAGCTTAACGAGTTCAGGACTCTGAACTCCAGCGAAGCTTAAGTTAAGTGATGTAATTCCAGAGCAGATTGAATACATGGCCGGAAGATAAGCTGGTACAACATCCCAGAAGCCAGACAAGCCCTTGAGTTGCTTACAGGACGAAAATGCTTCTGTCAAACTTGAGAATACTTCGGACTGGATCTCAGCTGAATACGCACCTGTACCTAATTCGACCAACTGTGGGGCCCGGTGGAGTAGGTTAGGGAGCTTCTCAAGGGGCACAGAACGACTCAGCCTAAGAGTCCTAAGATTGGGGCATCGAGCAACTAGACGCTCCAAGGCAGAGAAATTGACCTCTGAGTCTAAGCAGGAAATGTTGAGACACACAAGAGAAGTGCAGTTATCAGGAAAATGACTAAGCCAATGCCCGCTGATTTCCTCCACATCACAGTCCCTCAAATCTAGTTCTCTAAGATTCCTGTATTGTAGAAAATGCCCAAATTATCAAGACTACTATGAGCCCATCATATATGGACAACGAAAAATGGTACAAGCAGATCTAGAGAAGTACAGCTAGTTGATGCCATATTATACAACATCAGGTACCATATTATGAATGAAACTAATCACATTGAACTTTGAACATTGAATTTTCCAGATACGAGCACAATAGGCATGCCAATCAATTAAATTGCATCATCAGATCGGAAAATGTTCATTCCGAATGCTAAACATACTAATGAAAAACTATTATCGGAGAGATTAAATAAAGATATGAACAATATACCCCTGGAAGAAGCAATGAGTTTCCCGTAGTGCAAAAAATATACTTGCCAGAAATACATTATACATTGAATTGAAATTATCTATCCACGTTCATTCTGGGACTTCAAATTATCCAAAAAAATATTGAAATTGGAAGAAAATGAACTGAGAATACTCGATCCAAGATCAATCAGTGCAGGCTTAAACCTTTATCACTCAAGTGCCAGATTAAACTTTACACTCATAAAATCTCAAGGATACCACATTGGCACAAAATACACATCAAACATTCAACTGGAACACACACAATATAAAAGAAATAGAAAAAACTTGCCATTTCTTGGATCCCATTCATATAAACTTCCCTTAATCGATCCATCAGAAAAAAAACTAAAAGATAGAACAGAATAACACTATGAGCTCATTTGATTTCCAGGAACTGACCTGCAATTAGCAGCAATCGAGGCGAGGCCGTCCGTGGTGAACCCCTCACAAGACGAGAGCACCAAAACCTTGAAATTCTTAAACGATCTCGCAATCAGCTCGAGGCCCTCGTCAGTAACCACCATCCGCTTGAGCCTGATCTCCTCCAGCAACGGATACGCTGCCGACATCGCATTGATCCACGGCTGCACGTACCCACCCCAACCCTCCGGCACGAGATTGAAATCAGCAAAATGCGGCTTCCCCTTCATTTCCAACGCTCTGGCCTCCGGAAACCGACGGATCACGATATCCGGCGAGACCGCGTAGCAGTTCCCGACGAAAATCCGGCGGCGGCACCACCGCTCGATGTCGTACCAGGACTTGCACACGAGCGAAACCGCGTTCCGGTCCTTATCCGAGCTCAGGAACAAGAACACGTGCTCCAGGACCTCCTCAGGGAACGAGTACGCCATGGGAGGTAATTGCAGATCTGAGATTTCTCTTTTGAAAAAAAACAAAATGGCTGAAAATGAGAGTAAGATGAAAGAGGGAATTTTTATGTGTGTTTTAGACCAGATGTGTAACCACTGGTGAGTTTAGAAGTAACTATGGTATGAAAAGAAAAGCCCGATGCTGACACGTGGTGTTGGATGAATCGTGACCGTCTAAAGGTTTTGGGACATTATCTTGTCAAAAAAAGAGAACAGAAGAAAGGCAGATGAAAGAGAGCCTGCGTGTACAGTGTATCTGCGTCTCTCTCCCGTGGTGATAATGGAAAAAATTAAAAAATTGGTATTTTGTATTTGATTGAGGAAATTTGGTGAAATGTTTTATTGTAAAACAAAAATGATTTTTTTTAAAAAAAGAAAAAGAAGAGTTATAAAAAATATTATTCATTTAATACTAAATTTTCTTATTTTGCAACTTGTTACATAAAAGTATAAAACACTTTTTTAAAATTTTATTTTAAACATAATTATTTTTATTTAATATCTCATTAATGCAAGAAAATAAATACAAAATATGAAAAATTATATATTATTTATTTGAATATTGTTATAATATCACTTGTGAGTTGTCCCACATAGTTTATACCAGTGTTCTAAAAGTCGCTAAGTCGAGCGCCTAGCGCCTAGGCGGCGCCTAGTCGGGACCTAGAAATTAATATAAAATACCTTATTTTTTTATTTATTTTAACTTCCTATAAAATAAAACTATCTCAACTTATAATAAATCCACACACCTAAGTCTAAATAATAAGATTAATATATTTTAAGGAAAAATATGAGAACAAAATAATGTAATTAGTATTTAAAAATAAAATAAAAAAGAAATTAAAAAATTGTCGCCGAGCCCGCCTAGGAGCGCCTAGGTCCGCCTATACCCGTCTAGGCACCGTGATGAAGGATCGTGTGTCTCACCAACTCGACTTGCTCGAAACCCGCGCCGACGCCTTGGTTCCTTCGCGATAGGTTGCTAATACGCGCGCCGACGCCTTCGTACTTCGCGGTTTGTGAAAGAAAATCGGTACTTCGCGGTTTATGAAAGAAAATCGGATGTTGGTCCTATTTCTAATAGGATCTTGCTTGTAAATTCAAAAATCGGATGTTGGTCCTATTTCTAATACGATCTTGCTTGTAAACTTACAGGAGTAAACTCCCGAGACAATTGAACATATGTTCGGTTTTAATTAATTCTTCATTGATTATAAAATATAATGAGTACATTGGGTATTTATAAGAAAAACTAGATTTAGTCCTATAAGAACTATAATTCTAATATATGAAAAATATATCTAATCTTAAAGTAACTAAATGTATATCAAGACTTACCAAAATAATTAAAACTCCTAACAAAACTAATTAAACTCCCACTCATACTAACTCACGGCTAACTTGAATAAACTAACAAATGTAACCTAACCGCCACACGGCAAATAAATCCTAACATATCTAAATGTCCTCACGTTACTAACATTATATCAATTACTAACCTAACACTACTACAATTTACGCCACTAATCTAACTAAATAACTAACATCTAATAAACACACTAACACGGCTAATGACTAACAAATACGCCACTAACATACAAACTAATCTAACTTTAATACTAACCAAACTCATAATTAACTAAACTAATAATTCTAGAATCTTTGCTCCTCGGCTCGCACGGCTCGCCTCGTGTGATCGTGCATCACGCCCGCGTACGCCCCCGCGTGCCCGGTCGCGCACTTCATTAGGCCCGTTGCTAGCCCCTCGGCCTGTTAAGCCCCTTCTCGCAAAGCCCTCGCTTGTCCAGCCCACGCAAGTGCCTCGGCCCCGGCCTCTGCATGTTCTCGAGTCCAGGCCCGTTCGCGTATCTACCCGGCACGTGCGTTTCTTTTTGCTCGCGCGAGCTCCTCTTGCGCGTATCCGTTCCTTCACTCGAGGCCCGCATCGTCTAGCCCGGATCTCATCCAGTCCTCGCCATCGCCCTACGGGGTTCTCGTGTCTCGACCGTGCGCGATATGCACGAGTCAGTGCGTGTGTCCGTTCCTTCACACTGAACTCTCATCTGTTGCCCTGGGCCATCCCCAGGCATGTTAACCGCCTCAGCCGCGTACGGGTCGACTTATGTCGTTCTTCTTGTGCTCTTGCGCCTCGCATACGGGCTCGTACCCGTCTTTTAGGCCGTGCACGCGTGGTTTTGGCCTCTTTCTCGGCCTTCTTGGGTCATCTCAGCCATCGGCTCTCGGCGTCCTCGGACCTCGAATGCCACATCTTCATCACACCGCCTAACCGCCTGGGCGCCGAGCCGCCAAGTCCGCCTAGGAGTGCCTAGGGCCGCCTAGCCGCCTGGCCAATTTTTTCTGCCGATTTGTGCAAATCGGAGGCGCCCGAGCACCGCCTAGCGCCTATGCGCCGCCTAGGCCGATTTTTAGAATATAGGTTTATACAGGAAAAATAGGCCTAACGTATAAGCTTAGTGGGATACTCCTCATTTAACTCATTTCACCAATTGGTTTTTGGATGAAATCTCACTTGGGCTTTCATTTGGGCTCACCCTGTTATGGTGCGCTTCACGTATGTGGGACCACACCCGTTTTACTCTCGATTCTTACATGCTATCAGAGCCGACCTCGTGGGTCCTATCGATGACGCACCCGTTTTACCCCCGATTCTTACATGGTATCAGAGCCTACTTATGTGGGTCCTTGCGATGACGTACCCGTGACCCAACTCAGTTGGATTTGGGCTCCTAGACTTGAGATGAAAGATCTTGGTAATGCCTCTTTTATTTTAGGAATTGAAATACACCGAGATCTCTTTCGGGTACATTGGGATTATCACAAAAGAGCTATATCGAAAAGGTTGTCAAAAGGTATGGCATGCAAGTCTGCAAACCAGAAGATACCCCTATTGCTAAGGGTGACAAGTTTAGTCTCAAATAATGCCTTAAGAATGACCTTGAGGAATAGAAAATGCAGAAAATTCCTTATGCTTCAGTTGTAGGGAGTCTTATGTATGTCCAAGTATTTAAACCTTTCGGATATTGCATACATTGTAGGTGTGCTTGGAAGAAATTCGAGCCAGTCAGAGTTAGAACATTGGAAAGCATTCAAAAGGATATCGAGGTACTTACAGAAAACAAGGATTATATGTTATCGGAGTAGAGCTTGAGATCGTTGGATATACCTAATCTGAATTTGCTGAATTCCAAGATTAATCTACGTCGAGCTATATTTTTCTGCTTGGTGGAGAATTTGTGTATTGGAGGAGAGCTAAACACTCTATTATAGTCTACTCTACCATGCCTCCAAATTAATAGCATATTATGAGGCATCCAACCATGGATTATGGCTTCGAAAGTTTGTCACGGGGCTGCGTGTAGTAGATGACATTGAAAGACCACTAAAGTGATTTTGTGATAATAAATTGGTTGTGTAGTACTTGTACTCCAATAACAATAGGATCTCTACGAAGTTAAAACATATTGACATCAAATTTATGTGATAATAAATCGGTTGTGTTATTACGATAAGTGCAATGTAGTCCAAACTCCAAATAATTATATTAAGAATGCTTTTATGACAACATCTTCAATGATTTGTGAATATTTATATATAATTTTATTAATATTTATGTGAACAAAGTAATATTGTATTGCAACTTTTATTAATGTACTATAAATCCAAGATTCTTAGAATCGGATCATGATCGAGATTGATCAAGTTATTTATTCAATGATTTATTAGTTGGACCATAAATCGATTTATTAATATTTTATTATATATATATATATATATCACTTTTGTAATAAATTTATATATAAGTATTAATTAGATATCTAAACAATTGAAAATCATTAAATAATTAAAATAACTAACAAATGATTTATAAATCTCTATTTTATTTAAATATTTATTTTAATTTATATTAAAATAATTTAATGTAACAAAATTTATTTAAAAAATCATACTGATTCTACAAATCCGATTGTTGTTAATCGGTTCTCTAACAACGCTTTATTGAAGCTAACCAGAACAATCAATAAACATGTTTTCAATCCATCCAGTCAGACGAGTCCGTTATGTATTTAAAAACAATAAATAAATTTTATTAATATTATTTATAGATTAAATTTATAACACAATCCCGCAGGAGAGAAGGTTTTTATAGAGCTAATATTATTTTTCGTGTATTGCACGACGACATATTAGTATTGATCAAATCATCATACTTATTCTCAAGAGGCTAAGAAGAGAAAAAAGCCCAACTTTTTTGCTTAAGGCCCAATGAAAGAATGGACTATTAGTACCGCCCAGGCCCATTTAAATACATATCGACTGTCGTTCAACTTAATTTTAAGTTTTTAACTTCCCATTCATTATTTTGTTTATATCTCTGCATTGAAATCTGTTAAACCCTAAATTCACATTCTCCTCCTTCTCCGCCGCCGCCTCAACAGTCGCCGGAGGCTGACTCTATTATCCAACAAGCCATGCCGAAGGTGAAAACGAACCGGGTTAATTATCCGGAAGGATGGGAGCTAATCGAACCCACGCTCCGCGAGCTACAAGCGAAGATGAGGGAGGCCGAGAACGATCCACACGACAACAAGAGAAAATGCGAGGCCCTTTGGCCGATTTTCAAGATCGCGCATCAGAGGAGCCGGTACGTTTTCGATCTGTACCACCGGAGGAAGGAGATATCGAAGGAATTGTACGAGTTCTGTCTGGATCAGGGGTACGCGGACCGCAACCTGATCGCGAAGTGGAAGAAGCCCGGTTACGAGAGGCTTTGCTGCCTGAGGTGTATGCAGCCAAGGGACCATAACTTCCAGACGACATGCGTTTGCCGAGTCCCGAAGCATCTGCGCGAGGAGAAGGTCGTGGAGTGTGTGCATTGCGGCTGTGGGGGCTGTGCGAGTGGGGATTGAGGATTGGTCGTGGGTACTGTCAAATTTCATCTTGGAATAGGTACTGTTTTTACCATTCATTGAGTTGTTTATTAAAACCTTCACGTACCCTTTCCGAATAGAAACCTCTGATGATGTGAGTATTTGTGGTGCCTAAGAAGATTGATTTCTATCTTAAAGAAGACATTTTTTTCTCCTTTTGTAGTTAAGACTGTACGATGCGTGTTTAAAAAACGATTTACTTATTAGTGAAATTTCTATTTTGAATGCATTTGAATTGAAGTGGACATGGCACGTTTTCTTTTGCAAACAAAAGGATAGGAGCTTTTGGTTTTCATGATATTATGTTATATATAAACCCAAAGAAATAACTTCTGCATCGCACCATCTCAAATAATTATGTTATTGACGGTTAACATTTTCTTCGTTAGATAGGTACTTTATTCTAATTGAATCTATTTTAAATTTTACCGTTCATCTTGGAGCAAGTACGAAATTTGCCATTCATTGATTTTTTTTAAGCCTTCATGTACTAGGGTTTGTGTTCAAATTTTCCGAATAGTAACCCCTGATAGTATCTGTAGTGACTCGGAGGATTGATTTCTATCTTAAAGAAGACATTTTTTTTTTTCTCGTTTTGTTGTTTGACTGACTGGACGTTGGTTTTGAAAAAAAGATTCATTTAGTAGTGAAATTTAGTCTTAGAATGCATTTGAGTTGAAGGGGAAATGGTGGCTTCTACTTTACAAACAGGAGGACAAGAGCTTTCGGTTTTCAAGACCTTAGTATGTTACATATAAACCAAAAGAAATAACTATGAAAGCTCAGGACATTAGTTTCTTATATATAAGCTGAAAGAAATAACTTTGGCAATGTAAGAACCACCCTAACTAATTATATGTTATTGACGATTTCTTTGTTAGATAGGTACAGTATTTCAATTGAAAGTCTATTTACGATCTTTTAATTGGTTGGGCTAATATGTTAAAAAATGCCAGTGATGACAAGAGTATTGGCAAGAGCTCCAGCAACAAAAAAATGCGCATCCATGGTAGTAACCATGGTGTTGTTGTTGCTATGATGAATGTGCCAATATGCTAATCTGAGGCCTTCTATAACTTGGTTTTATATACACTATCTGTTTCTTTTCTCTCCAGAATTCATTTGGTTTCATTTATTTTTTCTTTATTTGAGTTGATTTATCTTGCAGTGTCAAGTCTTGAANTTAAATGTCATGCTACCCACTCAAATAATTATTCAGGAGTAAATGGCTCCTTAGATAATACAGTCTAATTTTGCCTAATAACATTTGAGACAGATTGTCTGTTGTGTTCCAAATGCTATGTCATAATTTCAATTTCAGTTGTTTACAAGCTTCAGTTCATTTCTTATGGTTCCAGGTCGCGAAGAAAGTTCTGTTTGTGGCGGCCTTGGTTCTCGCCTACATCCAATGTAACACTGAGCATACTAATCTTATACCATCGAAGTTTGTATTATTATGGACCACCAAGTACATTTTCACTTGGTCCCCTCTTCTATTTATGGGAGGCTGTCCCTTTTTTTTTTTTTAATCAGGCTATGTGAGGCTGTACTTGATGAGCATGTAATGGTTCTTATTTGACCTTCAACTTGAAAACGACCAATGGAAATTGTATTGGTAGGATATGGATTTGATTGAGGCACAAAAATGAATTTGCTTGTGTCTTATATTCTTGTAATTATGGTCCTAATGGTTGATTGGGTTTCTGTTCATTGTTTTTGAACTAGGCAAGATGTATGGTCAACAAAGAAATCCATTTGTGGCAGCATATGGTCAGCTTCACTCAGTTATCTTCATACTAAAACTTAAAATTAAGGATTGTATTTGATATTACCTTAATGTAAATTTGCTTGACAAAATTCTTGCTATCTTCCGTTATACCCATTTGCTAGGCTTGTTCCCAAAATACCTTGTTCGTCAAGGGATGCCTATACTCCATATTTAATTAAAAAAAAAAAAAAGCTCAAAGGGTCAAAGGGGAAATTATAGTCTTCCTTCTCTGTCATTAGATTATATCATAGAGATACTTTTTCTCTCTGTCCTTCAAATTAAACAGCAAGGGAAATAGAAACTGACCAAACAAATGGCTTCATGATGTCTACAATGAACTTTCATAAATCAACATAAAGACAGTAAACTTCAAATCTTGGTTTTGCTCGTGTACAGCCACCAACATTGTTCCATATTACAAAATCATCATATGCAAAATAGTACATAAACCATCCACAATAACTTAAATAAACAACTCGAAAAAACACCCGCTGTAGTCAACCGAGAGTAACATCACTATCAAGTCAAATCACACCATGAAAAATAATCTCCATCAATGACATCACTCGCAAGCGATTTTCGTATCAAAACTGCTAAGACAAATCGCAAATGCCTGAAATGCCGAAATCGGATACTGATAATCCATAGTAAAGATATCCTTCCCAACCTTACCAAACTGAAGAATAACATTATTATCCTGCTCCTGCCCATCACCTCGATTATTCTCCACCGAAGCCACCAATTGGAAATTCTTGACAGAAGCAACTGTCACACGCCCATTGAAGTTAAGGCACCAGCACTGAAGCTGCTCGTGCCACCTAGGCGCCTTGTTCTTTAAAACCAGCGCATCATCTTTGGGCCCCACCAGTGGCCCGGCCCGGAAGCTATCGGCCCGAGTTGACTTTGACCGGAAAAAAGGGAGGGAAGAAGGGAAAGATTCGAAGTTGCCAGGAACAAATGCAGTTTGCGTGGGGGCCACGCCATCAGGCTCGACTGCCGATGCAGGTATAGCATCCATGATGCATTGCATTCGTCTTGGTCCCCTGTTAGGGGAAAACACATTATTTTTTTGTAATTTAGTAATTTTTGGAAGAAAAGCTTAAAACTCTAGTCAGAAGCACTAATGCATGAAGATGTGAAATTGGACATTAGCTAGCAAAGAATTTAATAAAACCTTTTTTGTTTTACCGCCTTTTTCCGTTACTTTTGTATTAATCAAACAATTATATACAACAACAACAACAACAACAACAACAACAACAACAACAACATACCCAGTATTATATTCCCAACAGGTTGGGGTCTGGCGGGTCAGTTGTACGCAGACCTCACCCTTGTAATTATACAAGGAGGCTGTTTCCGTAGCGACCCAAGGTGCATTGCGCCGTTTGATATAATTTTTTTTCTAGAAACTTCTATTAGTGAAGAAGCACTAGAATTTAATTGAGCCATTTTGATCTAGTCCATTATTAATCAAACAATTATAATTATATATTTTACTTATTTTATTATATAATTGCTACTATTAATGTTATTCTATTTCAAAACTTTTTTCAAACTATTTATTTAAAATTATTGTTTCTTTTTTTTATCAGCTCATTAAGCAAGTTTTATTTATTAAAATTAATTAATTATTTTTATGCCATAACCAAACCCTTTAAAATTTTGTACACAATTGATAATATTAATTTCAATATTGTTTTCTCCAATTAATTGCCATAATCAACCAAGATTGCATAAATTTAAAGATTAATATGTAAGTTATCCAAAAACGCACCACACCTAAAATCGGGTCAAGTTGGCCTTTTTCAAGTACTTCATTAATGAAAGACGCATTCAAGTCAACCTTACCCTTTTAGCAACTCTCATGTGATATACTCATTATCTAACTTATGATTTTTAACAACAACATACCCAATACATTCCCAACAGGTTGGGGTCTGGGGGGTCAGTTGTACGCAGACCTTACCCTTGTAATTATACAAGGAGGTTGTTTCCGTAGCGACCCTTTGCGCCGTTTGATATATTTTTTTTTTTCTAGAAACTTCACTAATAGAAATAGAAGAAGCACTAGAATTTAATTGAGCCATTTTGATCTAGTCCATATTAACAATGACTCTTCCAGCTCCATTGACAATGGACAAATAACTTATGATTTTTAAATTTTACATAAATAGATATATATTGTATAAAATTTTATTTGCATTTGTGCATGTGCACATGATCGAATACTAGTGTTTTTTTAAGCATGTGTGATACATTAATGCCCATCTACCGACTACCATTACCAATTTAGAGAAAAAATAACAGCCGCTCGTTTTATCAACTCCTATTAAAAAGGGAAGATTAATTTAATCACCTTGAACCCAGAACATTCAGCTCATATGATATGTGGACCACTGGGAAGTTGCCAGCAGGGACTTTAGGGGATATTTGCCTCAATCCGACTAATCTTGTCGAACGAGATTTGGTTACTTTAGCTCCAACGTTTGGTGGCTGGGCGTCATAGATGGTGAACTTGGTACCCAAGAAATTAGACCTTACACAGAAGTAATGAGAAAATATTATATATAAAACAAAATCACCCATAAAGCCTTTTTAAGTTGGGGAAATAATTTCGATACCTCAATTTGCCAATGTAGTTATTGCTGCCTTTTGATACATCGTCAGCATTTAGGGATATAATGTAGTCCGTGTAAGTTGGGCGTCGACATCTTCGGGCAGCAAGAAGGAATTTCCCATCATCATTAGAAGCTGGTGAAGAAAAAAATTAAAAAAAAAAAAACAAATAAAACAGAGAACTATGTATATTGAATCATAAAATTGCAACAATAACCTATTCAGCAAGAAAGAACAATGAAAAAGTTATGATCTTTACCTTGGCTCAAATTGAGGTAAAGGTTATAGGTTTGAGTCCCACGATTCCGCTTAATGAAGCACTGTATTACGGTGTTCCTAGGACCAGGCTGTAAAAACACCCCACAAATTTATTAAAGCACAACTCGAAGGGAGACAAAAACAAATAATAGAAGCTAATATAACGGTAAAAATAACAAGACTGAGATGATCCATTTACTTTTAAATGGAAAAATGCACAATGAAACTTATATTTTCTTGTATCATAGGCACGCTAACAAAAACTTAAGTATTGTCAAAACAAAAACCATGCTGCCCTAAATCCCAACAAGTTATACAAAGCCAAAAA